CAGGGGGGTTGGAGGGGGATGACGACGACGGGTAGGTGGTTTCGCTTGCTGGATCGATCGATCGATCGATTTCCGACGGGAACGATGACGGTGGGTGTTTCCAAGCCACCGACAGGCCCCCCCCCTTCCCCCACAGTTAGATCGAAGATCGCGATACATACGGTAAATTGATATATTCGTGCAACAGGAAAACCAAAGCCGGTAGCCTACATTCTTGATAAGACACCGTGACTAAACGGGCCCTGGCCTCGGTTGCGCGCGTAGTCGTTATGGATGGTTAAGTGGTCGAAGATAATCGATAACCAGGAAGCAACCGGTGAAATTGGAACGTGTATGTGTGTGTGTTGGTCGGTGCAAGATCTTGCTTATCAAGGTCGATGAGCACTGAGCACTGTGGAAGCTTGTGGCGGCGAGAGAATTTGTTTTTAATCGTTGATGTACCGACACGAGGGCCCAAGGCGATTAGATTATAACCCGTTGATTATTCGAACAGAAGATAGAAAGTGTCGATCGGAGACCCTCTTGATATTTCGCGAAGTGAAATTTTCGGGATTATAGATTCTCAACCCCTTGGAATTCTATTCCCCCGAAGCTCGATCGTAAAGCATATTAAATACAATAAAACGAAGATCCTAATAAAGCTTAATATTATTTACATGTCATTACGAATGTAATGAAGCCCCTTGTACAGGATTTAAGATTATGACCTATTCTAATTTTGAAATTTTGTGTACCTGAAATTGCGAATTTGTATAAACCTCTGCAGTCGGAAATGGTATATTGAACTGTATTAAACTCCTTACTGTATTCAATTTTCCAAGTTAAATGACGCTATAAATGAATTTAATAAGATTTTAATAAAAAAAAAAAAAAAAAAAAATAAAAACCATAGCTGAATCGTTGGGGATATTGGATCAGGCCGGAAATATCGTGGTCGTTCGATCGAAGAATCGCGGGACAAGGAATACCTATCTACCTTCGCGCATGGGTCACGTTTACCGTTCAGGTCAGATTGGTCCCTTCAGCGAACCTCGCCCATACCCATGGCCCGCGAACACGGGAGTGGAGGTTTAAAGTGATAGCACGCGGTCTATGCATGGTAGCACGCTATTGACCACGCCACGTGAGAATCGTGAGGTAAACACGGACACGGAGTCGAAGAAGATACAAGCCCGATCGGTTGACCAGGAAGTATACGGGTACGAGTGGAACCACGGGACATTCGCGGCGGCGGCTCGGTGGTGCCAAGTTACAATGTCACGAAACGTCCCCTCGATACACTGACGTGCAAACACGGCTTCCGCTAGGGAAAAAATTGACATTATTTCAAGTACTGAAATAAATGTTAATTATTAATTTCATGGACGTAGCCAGGTTATTAGTCGGGGGGCAAAAATATTAACACATCGACTGCCACAGTGAAAAAGGCTGTACGTAGCCAGACACACTTTATTAATTTTTTTTATAAATCGTTGATCGGGGGGCAAAAATATTAACACATCGACTGCCACAGTGAAAAAGGCTGTACGTAGCCAGACACAATTTATTAATTTTTTTATAAATCGTTGGAAATGTATGCGTTTTGTTGATAGAGGCTATTGGTCGTGTTTCCAATTATACCGCAATAATAAATATTACACAAAAATTTTGTATCTCCTGAAAGAGAGTGAGGGGTAGGGGGGTCCAAATTTTTTTCTCGTAGGATGGTGCAAAAGCCACTTTTTTCCATCCAGGACGCTACGCCCATAGGTAATTTGCTGTCCATGGTCCGCAAAGAGATTCGTCTGAATCCCAGAAACCAAAAAATATTCTCGATCGTTTGACATTCGCGCGAATAGCAGCAAGCTAAGTCGGCACGGGAAGCCGAGGGGCCCCTCGATCGCAGCGCGCGAAGCGAAATTCCTCGCGTCACCGGGTGACAAAGTGGTATGTTCAAGTTTTTTGCCCGGTTTCCATGTCGAGGAAGCGCGGGGCTCTGGCTCCCGGATGATCGACGGGATTCTCGTGCGCCGATGAGACCAGAAGTCCTTGATCCGTGGGCGATGCAAAACGATCGTCGCTGATGTGTGTACACCCGGAAGAAAGGTGTGTGCGGTAGGTCAGCGTTCGGACGATTAGATATTCATCCACGGAAGGTTCGACGTAAATCCTCGATGAGTGTTGAAAGGCTCCACGGCAACTGAGCATTAAATATTTCTTTACCAATCCTCTGCGTAACTTCTGTTTACTCTGTTTCGACCAGTTTCACATTGTGACTACCCCGGTGACGGGAATAACGCCCTCCCTCGTGTCGCATTCATCGAGGAATCACTGTATCACCTTTCTTACAAGGTTTCGGCGTATTGTAGCGGTCGATAGTGAGGTTCCATCCGGGATTTTCGCACGTTTCCTCGAGGCGAACAAGCGGGGATGAGGAGGGTCTATTCAAGCGAGAAGACTCGCGCTCGGAGGTTGCGGCAAGCAGCGTTACACGAGGAAGAGATTACGCGGGACCCTGTTCGGGTTCCGTGCTTTCTCTTCCACCGTCTCAATCCTCCGGCATTGTTCAAGGGGAACGAGGGGCGCCCCGTTCGCGTCGCCGTCCGCTTCTTCTTCGTCTTCTTCCTCTTCCTCCGCCGAGAGATCTTCCCACGCACGTGCCGTGGCTCTCGTACGGGGTCCGCGCGCGAAGGCCCGCTGAATAATTACCAGATGAAGATACCGCCGCCTCGTGTAGGCTGAAATCGTCGCCTCTACCTTCTCCGTTCCACGGGGCTCGCTCTCTTCATCGGTTGGTCTTCTCTTACTCTTCCTCGGGATCGACGAGGGGATTTTGCAACGGTACCCGGTGTGCCTATTCGACGACGACGGGTCCCGTCCCTTTGCGGATGAGCAACCCACGGGGATCGACCTCGTCTGTGAACCGTCAAACTGGCGAAAACTGTAGGATACAGCGAACCGTTCTGTCGATGGCTTTTCGACGGTGCTTTCGGATTTTGTAATACTTGAAAATAGTAAAAGTGCAACCAATCGAGAAAGTGGTAACTTCTTGGCCCACTAATGTAACTACAAAGATTATGGCAATAGCTACAGATGCATCGAAATGACCCCTTGCATTCGCTGTACGAGGGGTTAACGTCTTTCCCGCCAGCAGCCTATTAATAGGTCTTCCGATTTAAGTGCTTATCGATGCGAAGCCTATCGATCTCCGTTTAAATCAAGATTAAGGAAAGCAGTTGTTACATTACGCTGTTAGAGCTGTGTGTTGTTCGGTTTCAGGATTTTGTAATTTCTTCCTGTAATTCAACTGAATTTAAATATCCTCTGGTAGGTAATGTGTACACTGCAGATTTGATGCATTTATAGCCTATCAGGCGTCTACGAAACACAATGAAATACAAAACTTTAGTCAGATGCAACAAGATTTCTATATTATCTTTCAACCCCGTAAGATACTTAAAGGGAGGAAAAAATACTTCCTGCTTTTGTTTTTCTCTTCATGAATCCCTTTATAACATATTATTTCGTATTAAAATTCGCAGTCTAATATGATGTGTATATTAAACGAAGAATGGTTGATTTGTAGTAAAGACATTGTCTCCGAATAATTTCCTGCCGCTTTACTCTGCCCCTCCGTCTATTTTATCCCGTTCAGTGTACATCTTTTCGAAGAGATATTGGTAAACTTCATCATAATACGAGCAGATAACTGCATACTCTCGAAAACAAAGGTTCATCGTTTAAACTTTGTTCTCCTCTTGCCGCCAAAACACCAAACCGAAACGAACCGATCACAGTGGTTGCTCAGCTTCATTCAGAGGCCATGACGTAACCGCGATCTCTAACCCCATTTGGCATATTATTATCGCTGCCGTTATCAACACCGAGGCATTGTTTCCGATCGGAGGCGCAGAATGCAGATCTCGCTCGTGTGTCGTAAGATAGATAGCCGTTAATGAGTGGTCCGTATCCCATAAAGAAAGAGGTAAATAATGGATCTGGGTCGATCCACGAAGGCCAGAACCCGTCGTTATCACCGTGGTCGCAGATCGAAACAATCACGTCGCGGTTTTTCCTGTGGAAAACGACAGACCTGGCCATTGTTGGACGGTCGCGTGAAAGAAAAAATCTTGGATACGTCGACCCTTTCTCTGTCCTTTGTTTCCTCGTAACTGAACACCACCATCTCTCCACTTTCTCTCGCGGAACGAAGGGATTCACCGTGTTCAGAGTCACGATGATTCGTTCCTGTTGCGTCATAAACGGCGGTGGTCCCGTGGGATATATCCGAGCGGAGGAGGGCAACAGCACGATCCTGGTGTGTATGTAACCCGCCGCGAGTCCACGAACTTTATGCCCGCATTTGCATACAATCGTTTTGCCGCGCGAGGCTTCCGACTGTCGTCCCAGGGTTTTGTCCTACTAACGTCGCGGGGATTTCTTTTGATCCCCGTCCGTGTCAGATCTGCAGTCGATGACCGGGTACACGCGTGAGAATTTCGAGGAGGACGACGATTCATACAGGGGGTGGAAAAAATTGTTTCCACCAGAGAATGTGTGGGGGAGAATTGTGTGTCGGAGGGGCAACGAAAGAGAAATCTCGAGGACTGGTCGCCCCCGGTTCTTTTCTCGAGCTATGTTTCTAATTAACGGCCAGACGAGCGTGTTAATTGTCCAGCTGCCCGCAGGGGCCCGGTAGCCCCCCCCCGACCACACCCCCCGTAGGATTTCTTCGCACAGGTTGGACAGGTTCAGCGGAATCGCGTTCCGCTCGATGCAACGAGCCGCGGCGCTTCCACGAAAACGGGAGAAGCCTCATAGAAAGTGATACTTGTTGCGGGGCCGCGTAGAAAGTAGCCAGCCCCCTCCGTTCGCCGGGTCACTTTCGAAAACTCGGATCTGTTCGTGAAGAATTTCACGAGAGACACACACGCGTGAACTCGTCGAGGATCCATCGAGACACTTGTTTTTATTTTATTGTATTTCCTTTTAATTCACGTTTCCCTGTTTCTGTGTTTCAGAGGTGGCAGAGACGATGGTTCGTCCTCTACGACGACGGGGAGCTAACGTACTCTGTGGACGAGCACGTGAGTACCGATATTTGTACTACCAACTTGTTTTGAGGGGGTATTCCCATTCGGAGGGGTGCAAAAATCAATTTTTTTTTAACTGTAAGTAAAAGTATTTTACCTTGAAAATGTGTGAAAAATGTGATAAAATTTTTATCTAGATTAAGATTACCTTTAATTTTTTTTTCGACAAATACAACAACGTGAATCGTGGCAGCCATTCAGAGCTGCAAAAAACATGTAATAACTTTGTTAATAGAAAAGATAATTGCACAAAAATTTGATCGTGCTCTCTTGAAATGCGAACAAACATGTATGAAAAACTACAAGTCCCATGGTCCATTAATTCTTAGTTTTAAAAATCGCTTATAAATGACTCCTACGAGTGGGAACACCCCCTTAATGTGAATTCTCGTTTCGATCACGGTGACTGCACACGACGAATCGAATCCTCTTGGATGCGTATTCGCGCGGGGAATCCACTTTGCCGTCGACAAATCCGTTTACCGGCCCGATACGGTTTCATTCGGGCTGATTCGTGTGCGAATGGAGAACGACCAGACGTGTGAATCGCTCTCGGCATCGGTGTGTCAATTCGCCCCGTGACGATGGCTACGCTGCTGTCTAATGCTTGGCGAAAACGTTAGGGAAATTAATTCCGTAAGGACACGACACGACTTACAACTCGAAAACGTCAACACAATTGAGAACTGTAAGCCGTGGGTTGTAATTTCAATTTTCCGTCGACGGTTGGACGACGTGCTCGCTCTCCAGCGATTCGAGTTACTGAAATTTAATATTTCACCTTGGAGAAAGAATTCTGAACATTACACTACACGATCTAAAAGAAAAGAAGTCCTTGAAGTAAAGAAAAGGAATCCTGAACCTTTTAACGCCCAGACCCTTAACTCTTTAGGATTAGGTGGGTTATAAACTGTCCCACTGTTTACGGAGCCATAGATGCGTTCTTGCGCGCGTGGTCAGCCGAGTTGTTCAGCCCACGGTGGCTCGTCGAGTATCGCGAATCGCGTCGGAAGTTCCGAGCATTATATGGCAGGCCGTGAATCAAAAGCTGCCCGTCGAAACGGCCCCCTCGGAGCTCTAGGTGTGCCAAAGGTCGACGTCAATTGTAGTTGACTGGTCCCCGGTCGGCTGGTGTGCCCGATCATCAATGCCATCTCAATGTGCATCGTGTAGCGTTGTCTAGACGGTTCTTGGCCTATCGCTTTCTGACGCCAATGGCCGACGGTAATGCTAGAAACCGTCAGAATTGATTTAAGCCCGGACAGATGGCCGGGTAAAAGCTTCTCACCGCGTTCTCTGTGTTCCGCGCCAGCAGGAAATGGACGCTAATGATGTCTTCCTGGAAAAAGGGGACGATCGAACACACGATCTACGGTAATTTCATAATTGATCCTCTTTCGTTTCGATGGAGAAATGTCTCTTTCGATCAATTCCTCCAACGTTCAGTTATGGAATTCGACGAACGAGAAATTCGATTTTTTTTCTCTGCAATCGGGGCAGTAAACGATCCGTGGTCACCCCGTGTGTATTTGTCTGAATAATTCCAACCCGTTAGCCCAATTTCTCATTCCTCCTCAAGGTCGATCGAGTATGTATATAGAACTCCCTCGTTCGATGGGGAGGGTTATTATCTTTTCGCATTTTTCGACCGAGATTACACTCGAAACGAATGGCCCTCTTAAGGCCCGCGACCGGATCATTAATCTGGCTTCGAGGATGGCCGAGTTGTCCAGGCGCCGCGTGCGCGCAAATCGACCGTACCCGTAGAAGCAGGAAAGCCTTTAACGCGATATAACCTTCAGGATCGGTTACTTTAATTCGGTGTTTGCGTGTTCGCCGCCAATAATGAAGTCCCCGTAAAAATGGCGGATGCGTCTGCCTTGGTTCTATCCGTCTAGAACCGCGAGCCTGGCCGGAAGTGTCCCTGCTGGGAGGATTCAAGGATGTCGTGGAGAACGGTTTCTGTAAATCTAGAATCAGATGTAACGGAATTATGCAGAAACAAGTCGACAAATTTATTTAACACGATAACTTTAAAATAATATTTCAAAATATTCTAAAATATTCGAGAAAACAAGGTTTTGTGTATTTTCCCGGAGCCCTGATAGTTATCGAACCACGGGAAAAAAGTCTCGATGAGAAAGGGAGGAAAAAGCTCGAATCCATCGAAGGAAAAAAAACACTAGTCGCGATTAATGTCCCTGAAACAGCGAGAACTGGTTCTGCGTGTGTACGCATACTATCTCCGAATAATCGACCACACGAGTAATAAGTTTGTATTTATGTTTAACGCCGATATTCCGTGTCTTCTATGGTCCATGAATCGGTGTGTTCTTATTGGTAACTACATGATTGGGTGTATTTGTGGTGCTACGTTCGAGGGGGTAATTAAAAGTCTAGACGTTCCTGGCCCGAGTATCGATTGGAATATTTTCCAAAGGCTGGAGGGGAGAAACGGTGCGAAGGATTTTAAACGTAAAAAGGATCGTATCGGAAGTTAGCGCCTTCGTGGTACCGGCAACAAGGCAAAAGAGGGCAAAACGGACCTTGCGCCGTATCCCGTCGCGAGCATTTATCAACGTGTTGCTTAAACGGGACAAGCCTAATCGGTCGATTCGCCGGTCGGTTGGTCGCGCGCGCATGAGCCCAATAATCGATAGTTAATTGGAAATGGCATTTCTCAGGGGAGAAACAGGGTCCTTTCCCCACCCTCTCTCTGGGCCGTCTACGGTCGGTAGCGCGGCGATACCAGGCGAAATGGTCATCGGTGGCCAATTATGCAAATCGGTTCGCGGGGGAAAGAAGGAACTGCTGCGCCGTGGGATTAATCGTCTCGAGTTGGAACGATTATCTTGTCGCTGGTATATACATATGTGTATATATAGCATACATACATATGTTCCTTTCGATTATCGGGGATTTCTCGTCGCAGGGGCCACGGAAAATTGTTGTTCGATCGCCATTAATCGGTGGGGCCTCGTGCTACGTGTTCACGAGAGTAGGTACCCACTTCTTTCGTTTCGCTGCGAACGTGGCCTGAACGACGGGGCCAGCTGACTCTGGCTGATTACCAGGCATAAGGCGGCTTGATTTACGCGCGCGCCTAATTGAATGAACCAGCCCCGCTCGTCGACGGAATAAATCACCAGTGGGGCGTCTCCGTTCGATCGTGTTCCGACGTTTCGATGATTCCGAGTGTACGACGGTCCGCGGATCGACGATGGTGGTCTCTGGGTGGCTCGAAGAACATCGGTGTGACTGGCGTAGATTTCTATACCATAGAAATTGTCGATACGTTCGGTCCATTGTCGACGAGTACGACGGTGGTGGAAGTCCCATCGTGTTTAGGTTCATCGATTATCGTAGGCTGTCCCGATTTATACCATCGTAGACACCGAGCCATTCGATGCATCGCCCAGCAATGATTAGTGTACTCTACACGTTCGTGTAAAGAACACAACACGACAATAAAGGATTTCAGAAGCTGCTGCTCACAGTCTCTCTCGGCGATGGAGGGACGCGATCAAACGAGTGCTCCGGCCACCGAGACCATCATTTTTCCTTGGCCGTCATTAACGTCTTCGGGCCGTTCGACACAACCCCGATCCGGTCGAGGGCCCCAGAGACTAATAGGAACCGTGTCGCGGTCGGGGCTCGATAACCGTCAGCCGAGGGACGGCGGTTTGATGATATTGATGACGACGTCGATATGATCAACCGAGGTTGCGAATGACCCCCTTTTCCCTGCCATCCCAACCGGTGGAGATGCATGTTGTTCGCGAAACACTGGTTAATCAGCTGACCCCAATTAAACGATAGCCATCGGGCTAGGACCGTGGCGAGACCGAACAGTTGCGTCGCCGATAAATGTTAATGAACCGTGGCATAATAGGGATATCGACGATAATAACCGGGGAATCTCTCTATCTTTCTCTGTTGCCGGGCCATTAAGGGGCGCCCCTTTGTTCCACCTACGATTCCCCTACGATTATTCGTCCGCGTTAATACCCGTAACGGTGCCCGTTACCAATTAGAGTGCGGCTTAATTGCGACTAACCGTACCACAGAACGGCTGTCTGCTGACATTTCACTGGAACGGACGACGTTAGAAGTTGATCGGGAGCCTGTGGAAATTTGTTCTTTTTAGAACGGGTAGCACGTAACGGAAATTGGCCGGAATCAAAGACAAATCCGTCCTAATAATGCTTCAATACATTTTGTGTTACTAGGGATGTACCTAGAAGCTACCTGAATCTCAGGCTGCAAACGTAATTTCTGAATTGATATTTAGAAACGTCTGCTTACAATATTTCATCAAAGGTACACAGTATTTAGCCTATATTAATTACTATACCGGTGAAAATTAAAGCGAAGGTAACCCATTCCGAGTTGATATTCCACGATCTTGAAGATATTCGAGCGTTTTAAATTACACAATACTTCAAAGTACATATGGAGGGCTCGGAATACTATCACAGACTAAAACATCGAGCAGCAGAGACGCGAGGGTTACCAAGCAACTCGAAAATATTAATGTTGAATCGCGAACCGAGGGGCCAGGATCCGATCGATCTGCCCCGAGTATCAGCCTCCGTAGGATTAATTCGCGGAACGATATCCACCGGCGTTCAGTCATCGTTCAGAAGTTTCCAATTAGCAGGGATCAGAACGATCTCTTCTCCTCTCGCTGGTGAAACAGTCCCTGGCGATTGTATATGTCCGCGGGGCTAGACACACCGGGAATGATCCGGATGGAGCAGTTTCCTGCGCGCGCTCGTTCAGTCGTCATCGAGACGGTTCCAATCAGCAGGTATCGGGATCGATCTGTTCGGTGGGTTGCCCCACGGTACGTCAACCAGGGCCCGATTATCCCCCTCGTACACGTTTTATTCCCGTTGGGCTCGGTGCTACCTACCGGTCCCTTCCCGTACTCGATATTAATACCGATACGCGCGCCCAGGGATTTGCATGCAGGGCTCGACACGAGCACACACACGCTTCCGGCGTTATGTATACCTGCGTGGTTTATGTATATACCTGCGTGTGGCTTAATCCACACGGCCGACACTCGGTTACGTAACTGCTCGTCCGGTGTCAACCGAGCAGAGACCGGCCGAGATAACGACCAGGAAGTCGCGAGGAGGAGGAGGGATGGCGGATTACATTAGGTTCGAGGGGGGGATGCTTTATCTCACGAGGAAGTCGCCGGTTAGACCTTGGGGGTATACTATAAAGGATTTTTGTCAAGGGGGCGGAGTCAGTCCAAAGGAGGGTAGGTTAGGTAGGAGGTAAGGTTGGATTTATTTTAGAGCCATAGACATTTTCTGGGGAGGAGACTGGGCTGGTTCTTAGGGAAGGGTGAAGTTGCTTGAGGGGTTGCCGGATGATTTATTTTTACTGGGTCTTTCTTTGGACCACTCGGTGCATTCCACACCCTCGGATACAACAGCAGTGGTCCTTGTGCTTGAGCTGTCCGTAAGAAATTATGTTTGTCCCTAATCTCCGATCTTTCCCTGCACACACCGATACGTCGAAGGACAGAGAAACTAACGAACGACCAGTCGGGCAATCTCAAATTAACCCCTAATTGAAACCTCGGTCGCGACCCCCACGAACCTAGAGGTATGGTTATCTTGTCATCGCTCGAACCGACACGGTTGCGCGAGGGGAAATTAACGATCTTCCATAGTCGCGACGCGTTTTGCACCTGACGGCCGCCGGAATCCCAAGCATCTGATTCCAGAATCGCGGTTGACCTTCTAAACCGTGGCGTAGCAATGTAACGGTGTACAGATTCCCCCCGAAAAAGGTCCAAGATCACAGGCATTCCAGAAGACGATCAGGCGAGTACAGCAAACCCTCGATGAGCGTTGAAAGTGTCCAGCAAACATAAAATATTTCATAAACTAACCCTTATCCGTCCCTCGTGTTCCCAACTTAATTTGTCCCTCGGTGTCAAACAGACTCATTGGTAAAAATCAATACAATAAAGTGACAAATAGTTAAATTTGCAAATTCTTTCAGGCAAAAATCACAAAGCCTCAGCAAAATTTAACTAGACACGACGAAATAACGTCATTTCTTAGGAGATAACTGTATCAAATTGACACAAGGGACGGATGGGGGATAATGGCCATTCGCGACTAAAACAAATATCATTGGCTTCAAAATTCCAAGCTCTATCGTTATGCTGAACCTCATTTATCGATGATTTACTGTATACATACCAGGAGAGCCATCAGAGATTGCATTCTTACCTCCATTTAACGAAAATCTAGCGTTGTCACTATCAGTTCCTGAAATCCTCGAAAGGATCCACGGGGACAGGAATCGTGGATTGATTGGACAGTGTACCTATCTCGGGAAATTAACGATCCCGTTGTCGCACTTACACCTGGCGGCCCGACGTGGCGTGCGCACGCTCCTCATCTAATTCCCGGATCGGTATTCCGGTTGGCCTTCTAAGGCTGGCCAGAACGGCGCGAACACCGGTGCCCCGTTCGACCCTTTATACCGGGCTATCTTCATCGCGGGGCTACGCGAGCGAAACCCATGAAAACGCGCTTGTATCTGACGATCGAGCACGTGGGTGCCGCGCGAGCAACCTCGAAGAAGTAGAATTTCGGAAGTGCTGGGATGGTAATGGAATCCGGAAAATACTTCAACGTTTTCCTACTAGCAGAGATGGGCAAATTTATTAATACGATAAAGGGTTTCGAATAACGGATAAAAAATAAGAAAGTATTCCAATTTCTATGAAAATAACCCTGCATTTTTGCTTGGTCTCAAACTGACCTTAAACATAAGGTTGCTACTTAATAGGTTCAGTAGATCTAGCGATCAACAGCCAAGGAACTATTATTAAACAATTCAATCACAATAGGAAATTACATTCATGGAAAATAGCAAAATCTCTAATAGAATAACGTAATTTTTCTGTAACCCTGATCTAAGGGTAATATTAATATTAAACTTCTTATCGCTTCCAGTCAATAAAGTGTGAAGACAGATCACTCAGCTTCTCCAATTTTTTACACGACGATGCACGTCCCTTGTTCTATTTTCTAAGAAGATAATAGCCGTCCGGAGGGGGAAGGATCGCCGATGGAATTGAGGCTGGTCGACCCCGTCCCCTTTAAAGCGACGTAGATAACAGAAGCTGGTACCGCTAGCGGAGCGATGTGGGCGCCTCCATTATCCAACTGTTCAACCTGTTCAACCCGCAATCAGACTCACGCGAGACCTGGGAGCCCGACGACGGCCGTTAAACTAGACCGGACCAACGACGAAGGGGGCTATGTTTAATGGGCAACGTTGCCATGGCTCTCTATCTCTGTCGTCTTCTTCCCCAGGCTTCTCCCCTTTGTCGTCGTTCTCCTCCTCGGTTACCTGCGCGCGTTCGTCCTTCTTCGACGTTGCACGCGGGTCCTCGTGGTTAACGGTTAGCCGGAACACGGAAGCAGGCTTTCACGGTTCAATGGAACACCTCGATCCTGAAGCTGCATCGATCGACTAGGTTGATTCGACGAAATCGAGGCGATCGTTGTCGCCCTCTTTCTGACCCCATGGCAGAGCACCTGAGCCATTGCTTTTTTTCACCTGTTGACACGGAAGAGACGCTTGAAGTCGATGTCGAAGCTTTCGATGATGCTGACAGAAAGTTTCTTCGTTCGATGGATTAACAGACGGAGAATTTTGTAACTTTAACGGAGAGACATACCGAAGAAATTTTTTCTTCGGTATGTCTCCGTTAAAGTTACAAAATTTCAACAGTTGACCAAGGTGTATTCTATCTACCAAAGAAGATACGTTGATTTTTCAGTTGTCCATTTCCTCTTCGTTTGGATAAAGATTCTGAACATGAAATTCCGAAAGCCTAGGATTTGTGTAATATTCATCGATAATTTCCTGACGCACGTTCGAATTTCCCCGACAGGGCCCTAAGAGAGGTCCAGCCTTATCGGCGCCGTGCGTCGAACGAGCCTCATGGAGCCGGGCTGAAACTCATTTCGAAAATTCCCGAGGGAGATGTGTATAATTATCCAGGAATAATGGACAATCCTAGACAACTCTGTAGGATTACTTTTGGTCCCTACATTCTCGACGTACTCGGTCGAAGAAATATAGTCCACGTTGACGGCCCATCGATGGTATAAATCTTCTTCGTCCCTCCTCCTTTTCCCTGTTTTTTGATTCGGGTTGTTCCTTTCGGTATTTACACGCTCCTAAATCCAAGAATCCCGAGATTCCCTCATGAAATATACAACGAAATTCACCTGACGCGTGGCTCGATGATCCCCGAAACGAGCTGCTCGCTGTTATTCCCCACGGGGAGGAAATGGCCCTTCGACCTTCAGCTTCTCGGCCAGAGTCTATCGAGAAATTCCTTCTTCGGCCCGTCCACCAGAATCTTCCAGCCTGAAATACCGAATGGGACGTTATTTTTTTTTTCTTTCGTCGACCATGAGGAGTATACGATGGGAACACTTGAAAACGGCGCCTGGTATCTTTACTGGCAGCGTCCGGAGGAAAGAACCCGGTTTCGTAGAGGATCGAGCGGGCCCCAACCGTTTGGGGCTTTTGTCGAATTTTCTGCGTCCAAGGGTCCACCTATCCGGTTTGTTTTTTGTTCCTTCCTTTTACGACGCAGACGTCCTGCGTCGTGTTGCTCCCGTCTCTGGTCGAGTCAACTGGATCAGCGAGAAATAGCGAGGAAAAGCTGTTATCAGTAATTCGCAGCGATAGTTGTACATAGAGGGTGTTAGTAAAAATGTGGGACAGTTTCATAGGGTGATTCTACTTTCACGCATATTTCGCCCATATTTTCTGCAATTCAATCGTTCCTTTCCAGAGTAATCAAGCCCACAAAAATGAACAAAGAAATTTATTTTAAATGTACACACAGTTAAGCATCAGTCCAGTGGTTCGACATTAAAATTTGAAAAAGTTCAAAAACTGGAGTTAGTCCACTTTGGCCTCCGAACGGCTTAATTAATAACTTGAAAACAAAGCCTCGAACGCCATTTCGTCATTTTTTATTTTTGTCTTAGTTTTCACACGTAGAATCTGTTAGATACCATCCAGTCGCGATTAGTGTTTAGTTATAAACGTTACACGTGCTGCCATATCGAAGGCCGGTCACATGGATCTGTACGACCTCTAGGGATCGTTCGATCGTGCCGGGAACAGGGGGACTTCCGTTAGATCTCTCCTGTGAAACGCAGAATCACGCGGATGCAGCGAATTCCTCTGTCCGATACACGATTCCCCTTCTGGCTTCGTAATTAAATAGTAAAGAAGCGAGAACTGTTTTGAAGCCCACGAAAGAATTAAATAATGATTGCGCAACGTTATCAGCACCGTGTCCGATAATACTTTTATCCGAGTCGGATGACCAGAGAACGTATTTGATTGGACTGCTGCGCAAACAGACCTTATCGGTTCACAAGAATAGCCGCCAGAACTTTATTGTTTCTTTCGACGACCAGTCGCAAAATAAATCAATCCATCTCACTCGAACATCTCTCTCGAATACCACAAAGCGTCTTCCAACGTATAGTTTTATTTTCAAGATTTATAAAACACAGTACACGAAATATCTTCGGTATAACAATATCAGAGACTGTATGACCAGATTAGAAAGAATATAATACCGTTATAATTAGTAGTGAAAATATTCGCTTAATAGTTAGTGGTGGTACGGACGTAGACCTTTCCGGAAGGCATCGAGACTTTGTCTACTCCACCGGGGAATAGTTTCGGTAGCTCCTCGTCTTTAACGGTCGGCAGGATCATCACTTTCTCGCCTGGCTGCGTGCAAACGAAACAATAACATTTAAGTAGCAGAATAAGATTCTTTCAAAAAACCAAAAGCCATAATACTCACCACCCAGTTAGCCGGAGTAGCAATCTGCGGTAATCTGTCAACCAGCTGCAACGAGTCGATGGTACGCAGTATCTCGCTACACGGGACAATTCATTCTCTCGTTAAACATCCTTCTTTCGTCTACATTATAACGTTATCGTTATACATATAACGTTAACTTACTCGACGTTGCGACCGGTGGACGTCGGATAGTGCATCGACAAACGTAGACGATGATCGGGGCTGATGATGTAGAGAGCACGAACGGTTATTGCCTTTTCCGGATCGTCTTTGCTCGTCTCGTCGATCATGTCCAGCTTCACCGCCAGGCTGCGATCGTGGTCCGCGATGATTGGATAGGGGAAGGCGCCGCAGATGTCTTGGCAGTAAGATTTAATATCCTGTCGCGTGGAACAGGAACGACCCGGTGAAATCGTGTTCGATCGGATCGCGATCGCAAAAAAGTATACTCGTATATAACGATCTGTTCCTTCGATTGACATCGAACAATACGATCTTTCTTTCGATTGTAACACTACTACCCGACGATTTTTTCTTTTTCCTCTACTTTGTAACCAGGCAATTACTGTTTTACGATACTCGCTTGCGGAACCGGTTGCGTTCTATGATAAAGCCTTGTTAGGCAAATACCAGATAAACAAGCGGAATTATTCCAGTCAGGCGTGCACTGTAGCACGAGTTGCATAGCGTGTGTGTAGACTAGGCGTTACATAATAGTGGAACGTGACGTTAAACGGATTCAAAACGAGGATGGTCAATTTGAATTCTATTTAGCTGCGACTGCTTCTCGAATAGGCACATTATTCTACGATTCGCGTGGGGGATAATCGTCTCGGAGCTGGCTCCGAAAGGAACGATTCACGACACTCACGTTAACCCAGTTGACGTGATCCTGGAGTGTATCGACAGAGTGGGCCAGCAGCTTGGTGTTTCGGCGCTGGAAATGCGGCTGGTGAACCGCCAGTCGTCCCAATTCGGTGGTGCACACGGGGGTGAAATCGGCGGGATGGGAGAATAGTACCACCCATCTGGAAGATATCGGTAATCGTGATCGTCACTCGGAATAAATTCCTAGACTTTGTTTTGTATACAACGGATATTCCCGCGAAAAGTACGTTATTACTTCGGTTCTGTTCATGGTCACCTCCAAGGAGACACAAACACCTGATCGGTTACTCGATGATTATCGTGTCGAGACAATGAAGAATGCGTGAACTATTATTCATTTTCCTGACTTCTCCCGTTTCGAAAACCACCGTACCGCGAAACCGAAATCGATACTCGACCGCAACGATGCAGCAAAAGCTGTAAACCGAATGTATACTTCTTTGTAGAGGAAACTGGCCTCTCTGCTTCGAATATTAATTCATGACATTCTTAATGTTTATCCACTTATATAAATCTTATTTAATTATTATTATCTTAATTAATATCTTGATTAATTATCTTAAAAACTAATATCCACTTTTATAAAAAGTGAATATTCCGGTTATTTGGGACACTTCCCAATTATTTATTTATTTATTAACGGGCTAAATACCCAAAATTCATATAAGCGATACAATAATATTAATTATCGACAATGCAAAGAAACGAATTCTTTAATGCTGGTGAAGAGTGACTGAATATGTTGACAGAGTTACCAAAATCGTTGACCAATCTCGAAGCACGGTCGAAACTACCAAGTTAACCATACCGAGTACTGTGATTTTTCACATAAAACAGGCTAAGACAACGAGTGCTTCGAGATGCTACATTCAAATTTAATAATTCACCAATCTCCGAGCAATTCACGTGGTCAAGGAGAACGCCCATTTACGAAAAGAATATCCAGCAAGTATCCACATAGGTAAATACAATATATATTTTTTCTTTGTCTCAAATAAAAGGCTGTTTACTCCTCTTAACGAATATAATTTTATAAGACAGACACGTGTGCTTCGATACGGAGAAACGGGGCGGAATGGCGGACTGATTGATCGACTCACGAATCCCCTTGCCAGTCGTAGAAATCAATCGGGCCCTGAGTGGTCTCCGCTTGGAAGTTCGGCACGATCGCGTTCAGCCTCATGATTGATGCACACGTTGAATCGTTCGCCACGGGTGGGTAGACGGATAATTCGCTCTGTGTAGCTTCCTGTGCGTTGATCACTGTGGACGAATGCCGCGCGACAAACTGATGCAGTGCCACGGTCGCGTTCGTCTGATATTTGTACGCTAGGCGATGCTTCGCGAGTAGAGTGGGGATCCACTTGTGTGCCGCGTTTAGATCGCTGTCTCGAGCACGTATCCGAGGTCTCCACTACACTTAACACTAAACCTACCTCGACCGATCAAAATTACCAGTTTTGGCGTACTAATTCCTACCCCTCTGAAGGGTTTGGTAGGGTTAACTGCAAACCAGAGACTCTTCCAGAAGCTCAGAAAAAAAAAATTCGAACGAACGAGTTTTCTTGGGTCTTGTTCAGATCATTTAGACTTTCCTGCGTGAGGACAAGTGGTCACGAAGAATTTTTTATGTGAATTGAATTGAATTCTTAAGCTTCGGAGCTTGGAAAAACGGGTTAATGAATCTAGTGAATGGATTCGATCGGTGAAATCGTGTTTCATTCGAAGGCAGGACAGTTCTGTGTGGCGACTATAGCTGGAAGAAATTCAACTGGTCGCTCAAGGCCACTTTCTCGACCCCGAATAACTCTCTACTTTCCCGACCTGTCGGCTTGCTTCTCTGCTCAATGGAGTGTGAGCAAGCTCCTGCGGATTTGCGCGAGGGAGAACGAGAGCTGGGGTGGCTAAGTGGCGGGCAAAGGGAGAATGGGACCCTCTGCTAACCTTGAACAGGCAATTGATCTTGGTCCTGTTGATGGAAACCTACAAGTGTAAAAGAATTGCACTGTAATGAACTGTATTTTTAGACGGGTACAAGAAGTATTGAAAACAAATTTGGTAAAGTGACGTGAACGTGATGCTGAAGATCGATTCTGAGTACCATTTCTTCGATTATTTTGACGTCTCCTACGTCGTTCTTTCTCAATCTTCCCCATAGTAAATTACTTCTTCCCGGTACGTCTCTGCCTCCCACTCCAACGACACAATACCGGTCAAAAGTATGGGAAAAGGGTCCATCATCGTTGGGACAGTAACTCATTGTTCTGTTACGATACAGTAAAAGTCACGGAATCAGTGCGCACATAAATCATTTCCGATTACCTTCGACACATTACTTTCATCAAATCTTTCTACAATAATATTTTTCTGTTTAATTATCGAACTCGATCCCGTACTCTTGACCGATAGTGTACTATATATAGTATACCGTAGGATCGACTCGATTTTGTCGATGTTGGGTATCTTATCAACCAGCAATTCCAGTCTTATTTAGCAGTCCAGTGTTTCAGCTCTGTTCGGTTTATCGTAAATATTCATCGGAGCAAGGTCGCCAATTGCTCTCGTATTTCGTTCCACCTAGCAACACGTCGTTGCTGGTGGGGTCACCGCGAGAGCATCGATGACAATACATGTATAATTGTTGTGTTACGACAGACGACTTTCTCGTCGGGCTCCTCTTTCTCTGTTAACCGTGTTCACGGCGAACGGTGGAGGGATATATCGGATCGTTTGTCTCGAACTGTCCGCCGCTTCCGTCACTCCGTTCGCTTGGCCAGCCGCGCTGGATCACCGTGCGCGCGTATACGTCGTTACTCGAGCGGATTCCTATCGGTGACATGCAAATCGATCTCCAGGCTCGACCTTTGCTACGAAACGGACGTATCTCTCTGGTAGGCCGGTGGTGTATCTACCCGGCCCCGTACGACGTGCCTATTTACGTATCGATATCGGTACCCGACGATCTGTACCCCTCGGAGGAAGACCTCCGCCCCTCGAACCTTGTTACAATCGCGAGAACATCGCTACGGATGGCGATCCTTTGTTTTGGGATCGTACGCCTCATCCCGATGCTTTACCGATCTCGACCGCCTCGTTCGGTCATATATCGCGAATTTGCGAGGAGTTAGTTTGCAGAAACCAATACGAAGATTTGAACAACAATAAATTATCGATGAGTGTTCGAAGGCTTCTGAATGATCAGACGTCCCTCGTGGAACCAGTTAAGCGTCCAATGATGAGAATGACGTCTGAACACTCGGGAAGAATTTAATTCTTCGTAGCAAATACACATGCACGATGATCGGTGAAATTATCAGTTTTTTAATTCTGCACAGTTTCTCGATCCCTTCTTACGTTAGTATCGGAAAACATTATACGAACAGGAACGCAAATTAATGTAGAAATATTTCTGTTCGATGTTATGACACTTAACGTCCACGTGTGTGTGTGTGTGTGTCGCCATTCAAACGGTCGAAGGACCGATTATACGAGTCGTCGAGGTGGAACGTTCCATGAATACCAAAAGCGAGCAATAGTCTGACGCGAGCGGAGCAACGAAATCCCATTCGAGTTCACGAATCCGTTGGGCCGGGTCCTGTGAAAGACGACTGTCCCCTAGGACAATGAGAGGTTCGTGCCTCCAACGCTTCCCCTTTCTTTACCCCCCTCCCGTGGCTCATCTTCCTTTTGAGAACCGGCCTTCAGCCTCTTCTCTGGCTTTATTTGCCTCTGGTGGTCCTGCTCTTTTCTTGTCTGTCCCATCCCCCTGTTTCTCTGTTCTCTGGTCCAGATGCTGCACGAAATCACTGAAGTGTTCGGGCTTGGCGAGTAGTCGGGGAGGGGAGGGGGCACCGTGTGGCGCCCAAACGAGTTTTAAATTGCGCCCCGGTGCGGGCATTTGAATGCGAAAACACGCGAAAGGATGCGGACCCGCCTAAACGCACCTGATCCCTCGTACCCTCGAAGTCCACGATCCCTACCGTCCAGTCCGTTGGATTACTTTTTGCTTCGAAGCTGCGCAACCATATTCGTCGTTGGGATGAACGATTTGGTGGTGTCTTTTGAACTTTTGGAGTTTTCTCCAATCTAAGAAGAATTAGTTTGTCCGTTCAACGAGGCGAGTTAGTATTATAATCATACCATTTACCTGTTGAGACCAGCTATTGGATGACAACTGTCTCTGTCCCTGTCCTACCTGAATAGTTATCACCTTCTTTTTGTTGAACCAGGTATAGAGGATCCATGTATTGCAGCCACTGTTTTCTTTACCCGTTCGAAAATAGCAAATAAGAGCTAGGGTCAAATTCGACCCCCTCTTACCAAGTACATACGACCTTAAAACCCACCTTACTGTTCGAGGGTTAAATACCGTCCACAAAAACATAGTCACATTTATCAGATCCTCTAATTGTGTTTCGAGTAGTGTTTATTTCAGTTAGACTAGATTTAAACGTTGCCTGAATTCCTCACCAAGTACGATTTGTACATCACAGCAGTGCAAAGAGCAAGGTATACGCATCTCTTGAAATATCAACGTTACGTATTAAATTGTCCCGAAAGCATTTGAAGCTTACGTCCCACTCGTCGGTCGTGATCTCCCTTTCGTTGCGTTCTTCCACTCGTGAATCAACCTCCTTCGCCCAAAGGAACACAAACACTCGGTTGCATGTGTGTGTCGGTCTGTAGGAGGATCGCTTTTGCCCTGGAATTCTACGGGGGTAGAATTTAAAACGAGTCTCTGTCGTCGAGGGAGCCCCGGCGCGTATTCCTCTCGGAGCTTGGGGCGTATCTGATGCGCGCCGCTGGGGAACGTCTCGGGAACACGTCCGTGGTTTCACGCAGACTGTCCATCCCACTGGCCTAAAATTATCCCGAGGATTATTGCTCCGCCTTTATCTAGGATGATCTGATCCCGTCCGTTCGTCCGGAGTCGGCGTGTTTCGCGCGAAACAACGAGCAGAGAATTCGCCCTCGTCTCATCCTCGTCAATCCGGACAGCCTTTAAATTGAATTTTTTATTCGTCGTGCAGATGATCCGATTGGTCGAATCATTCGGAACAAGAGAGGGGGGTGGGCTCGTTTGAACGATATCAGAGACGAATTAAACGGATGAACGCTCGAAGGTTCGATGAAACAAAAAGAAAAAAAAAATAGGAACAATCTTCGGATAAAATTGCGTGCGCGCCAGCGCATTTTGACGTTCTCTACGGAAGTGGAGGAAGGGCGAGGAGACGGGATAGGTCGAGAGGATAATTCGAAACGATTTAGGCGATTTTGTGTCACACTTCCCGTCAGAGTGAAGGTGGAAAGATGAATAGGCGTGACCTCGGTGAGGTCGAGTATACTTTTTTCCTCGTAATAGAATAATATTACGAGGAAACAGGTATACTTGAAAAATATAATTGTTGGGCGTATCAGGGTCAGTACATAGGGACGGATACATACTTCGCGAATTAAATAAGAACAAGGTGACCCAAAGAAAATGATCCAGAGAATACAAGGAAACAAGCAAAACGGACATCGATAGCCGCAGTCGCGTCGCGTGTCTCTCCGAGACGGACGTATGCAAATAGGGGCTCTCGGCCGCACCCCTCGATCGCGCGCCTTTCCATTACTCGATACAAATGATCCTCTGCTTGACCAGTCACTTAAAGTCACCTCCAAACGGTCCCGCGCGATAACGCTAATTACGATTCACCCGCCGGTTCAGGCCCGGCCATTAGTAAATTATCTCGAGCCGATTAAAAAAAGTCACGCTTCACATCGCGATAAATAAAACATAGCATTCCATTAAAAAAAATAGAGATGACCTTGAAATCTCCTCTATGCCTTCACCCATGCAGAAAATGTTTGTGTCACAATATGCATCCCTCTATACCGTGTAAGTTTTGTATATAACATTTTTTCATATTATTACAAATAACGGCAATATTCAAAGTGGACATAGTCATTGTCCCACCCTGTATATACCGGGTAGAGCGGCGATGTCGCGAACGAAAGATGCAACGAAAAAAGGGATACCACGCCTTCCCTCGCCGAACTGCAACACTCGAGCGATTGGACGAATGAACTTGACGCTCGGATGGCAAGGCCCCTTCGATCGAATTTAATCGACGAGTTATTAAATCGATGGGCCCGACGTCAGGGGAACTTCCTCGAAGGGAGGCTGTGACATGTTCGACGCGAATATCAGCTCGAATTACCCGATCCGCGTGTTCCTTCACCGCGTCTTCGTTTTGCCGTGCAACGTCTTCCTGGAGGATCTCGATCGGAACAGTGCTCGGTTGGAACAGGTGTGTGCTCGAGGGGGTGGGAGGCAGG